TCATCAAATTGTATCTTTTTTGCCCAGCTTTTTCAGCCCTGGCCTAATTCTTTCTAATGTGTTTGTATATCTGTTTGCAGTACTGGATTTCTTGCTCTCCTTTATACTTACTAAATTCTTAACACTTCGCACCATCTCACTGGATGACTTTAGGTACGCCATTTTCTGCGAATATCATTCATTGTCTGGCGATCCTGTTTTTTTATCAGCCAAGCGAACAGTGACTCGCTGGGCGTTATCGCAGTTGATGCAGTGTAGTTGGTCTAACTAGTTTTATGGTGAATTTTGTTTCAGGTATATTTTGGATCGATTATGAGTCAGTATGTCATTTCTTTGATGTATTTTACGTGAACTGGAATCCTGCAATGTTCCGATATACCTATGGATTACACGCGTAAGTGTTGAGGGGAACTTCTCAGAAGGATAAAAATGGTTGTGACCTTCTCATTGCCTAATCCTGAACGATTCCTAGGATGTGGCCAGCAGGCATTGGACCAGTGAAAGATCTGTACAGCGTGGCCGATAATCCTCAGTATACACTGGAGATAAAGAGCAATGGTTCCACTGTGGTGTGGATATTGCTTACTCGTCATATAACTGACAAAGTAAGCGCAGATCATCAGTTCATGCATATAGTGATTTTTTTTTAATGCAAGCAGAAAGTGAGTTAAAGGGCCACAAAGGCAGCGATGGGCACTATAATCGAGATAGCATACCTTTTCAAAGGAAAGGGGAAAGCAGAAGCCAGGAATACATGCATTTTGATCACCGGATGACGCAAATTTGATCGTAGCAATCGTAGAAAAATTTTTAACTGCGCTGATAGCGTAATGGTGCGCTTCGCTGAACGGGCAACTGATCAATGCACTAAACTTAATTTTATAAAGTGTGCGATCATGGAGCGAATTCTAGTTTCAAAGTAAGCCTTTTTGATTTTAGGATGATTTTGCGAACAATAAAGAATACATCACAGTAATGGTATACAAGTCGGGGAAGAAAATTTACATACCAAGTAAATTAGTTCTT